AGGATGCAGAAAAAATGGAACAGTTATACACTGTTTTTGAAAATGTAAATTAGAACAACCTCTAATGAAAATAGTATGACGATTTTGCAAATTAAATATAGATGTAGTGTTCAATCCAGCAATCCCACTACTGGGATTTACCCGAAGGAAAAGAAATCATTCTAGGAAAAGATACCTGCACTTGTATACTTACCACACCACTATTCACAATAGCAAAGATATGGAATCAACCTAAGCATTTATCAATGGATGATTGAATAAAGGAAATGTGGTATGTACACATACACACATACACATACGCACACTCCATGAAGTACTATGTAGTCATAAAAAAGAATGAAATTTTGCCTTTTGCAGCAGCATAGATGGAATGGGAGGCCATGAAGTGAAATCACTCAGAAACAGAAAGTCAAATAATGCACGTTTTCACTTACAAGTGGGAGCTAAATAATGTGTACATATTGTCATACAGAGTGGAATAATAGACATTGGAGACTCAGAAAGGTGGGGTGGTGGCAGAGTAATATGGGATGAAAAATTACTTAATGTGTTCAATATACACAGTTCAAATGATGGGTACGCTGTAATCCTAGAGTTCACCAATATGCACTATATCCATATGACTAAACTGCACTTGTACCCTCTGTATCTATAAAAATAAAAACATTAAAAAGGAACAAACATGATTTATTTCATTGCTACATGCTTTGAAGGAAAAGTGTAGGAGTTTGGATTTAAACCAGTTAGAGCAGTTAAAGTTTCTTCAGAAGAAGTGACATAGGGGTTAAGATCCAGAGAATGAAGAGGATTGAAATGGCATTGGGTGGAGGGAGAACAAGGAAACTTCTGGACATAGGGAACCTGTGCATAGCCTTTGCCAGTAATGAGCAAGCATTCAGAGGAAATCCTAATAAAGGAGAATGTGGAGGGAGTGAAGGCTAAAGGGATAGGCAGGAGCAGGACCATGCAAATCCTTGTTGAAAGGAAGATCTTGGTTTTGCTCCTTAGGAGAAACCACTTGGGGAATTTTTTATGCAGAGAGGTGGCATGATCAAATTTTTGTCTTATTCAGATAACTCTGAATTTTATATAGAAACTGGACTAGAGGAAGAATAATAGATGGGTATGTATTTTGCAATCTAGCCAAGAGAGGATGGCAGCTGAAATTAGGGAGAAGGTGGTGGAGATGGTATCAAAATGTTAGGATTTGGAGCTACTAAGGAGGTAACTCTAGCATGATTTTGCAATGGATTTTCCTGGAGTGGAACAGGGTAGGGAGAGGATAATGTTAAGGTTGTTCCATGTGTCAACTGGTGGAACAAGGTGAAGGGAGGTGCCACTCAGAGAGATGAGAAACTCAGAAAAGGATTAGATTGGTGAGAAAGGTGATAAGTTCTGTTATACATAGTTATATATGTATAACTCTTTATGAGATATGTGTGAAGAGGAAGTAAATAGGCAACTGTACATAGTGGTCTGGAGCTCAGAGGTAATTCAAGTCTAGAGAGATATATTTGTCCATCACTTCATTCTATATGGCATGTTGAGTTCATGTAGATAAGATTGTCTATGAGAAAGATATAAACGAGAAAAAGAGAGTATAGAAAACATGCAGAGCAGAGATGCAGAAAGCCCAGTAGAGAGATAGGGAGTTTTGAGAAATAGAAACCAGGACAAAAGAGCATTTCAAGATGGAAACAGTAAGGTTCGGTGCCTGTGTCAAGCAGCTAAGGCACCAGCCACATACACCTGAGCTGGTGAGTTCGAATCCAACCCAAGTCCACCAAACAACAATGACAACTACAACCGAAGAATAGCTGGGCATTGTGGCAGACGCCTGTAGTCCTAGCTACTTAGGAGGCAGAGGCAGGAGAATCACTTGAGCCCAGGAGTTAGGTTTCTATGAGCTGTGATGCCACAGCACTCTACCCAGGGCGATAGCTTGAGGCTCTGTCTCAAAAAAAAAAAAAAAATTGGAAACAGTAAGTACTGAATTCAATATTGCTAAGAAGATCAAAAGATATTTATTTCATTTAGTCACAGATGAAAGGTCATTGGAGGCCTAAGAGACAGTTACTTTGGTGGAATAAATGAGGAGGTTCAAGCTTTGAATGTGTAGGTGAGTAAAATGGAGGGATTGAAATTTATAATAAAAGTTTTTAATAGGGAAGACTTAGTATATTTATTTATTTATTATTATTTTTTATTAAATCATAGCTATGGACTTAGTATATTTAAATAAAGTGTAAAGAATCTCATGGAGAGGGCAAGACTGAAAATACCAGAGAGAAATTCATGGGCAATAATGTAAGTGAGAAAGCAGGTGGAATTGGGAACCAAAGCACAAGTGGATGGATTAGTCTCAAAAGCATGAAATGTGTGTTGTCCATCCATGCTGACAAGATAGAAAAGTGGGGGAGTAAACCAGATGCCCACTGGGAGTGGTTTGGAGTCCACAATGTTGACCTTATTTTGTCTTGCTGACTTGTTTTCTTAGTGAAGATGTTGGTAGTAGGAACATTTGCTAGGTTAGAAAGATGAGGCAACACATAAAAGACTGAAACTGGACCTGCACCTTTCACCACTTATAAAAATTGATTCAAGATGGACAAAAGACTTAAATCTTAGGCAGGAAACAATAAAAATCCTTGAGGAAAGTGTGAGGAAAACACTTTAAGATATTGGCCTAAGGAAAGATTTTATGAAGAAGACTTCAAAAAAGGCAATTGCAACCACAACAAGAATAAACAATTGGAACTTAATTAAATGGAATATCTTCTCTACAGCTAAGCAGACAATAACCAAAGCAAACAGACAAAGTTCACAGTGGGAAAAAATATTTGCATATTACGAATCAGGCAAAAGTTTGATAACTAGGATCTATAGACAACTCAAATTAATCAACAAAAAAAAAAGAGCCAACAATCCCATAAATCACTGGCAAGAGACATGAATAGAACCTTCTCTAAAGAAGGCAGATGAATGGCTAGTGAACATGTGAAAAAATTGCTCATTGTCCTTAATAATCAGAGAAATGCAAGTCAAAACCACCATATGATATTACCCAACCCCAGTGAGAATGGCCCACATCACAAAGTCTTAAAGCTGCAGGCGCTGGCGTGGATGTGGAGAGGAGGGAACACTTTTACACTGCTGGTGGGACTGCAAACTAATACAACCTTTTTGGAAGGAAGTATGGAGAATCCTCCAAGAACTCAAATTAGACTTCCC